TTTTATACAGATATAGATGTAGTTGTAGACATAGATAGATATAGATATATAGATTTTTTTCTTTTCCACCATCCAAAAGTATCTCATATCTCATTATACTGCTAAATAACAACCCTTGAAATCTAGTAATTTAATAGAGCTTTCATCTTCACAAAATTAAATCTTCTTCCTTAAGGACCTTAGGTTGTCTGTGATATACATCAATTCTACTGACAGTCTTCTGGTGAGGATTAGTTACATGGTCCACACATTGATGCCAGTCATGCCTTGGGCGGGCAACCATATTTAGTGATAACTTTATACTCTGGAAGGATGTATACAGTTTTTCTCCCAGTTTCAGGCTGCTAGCTTTTTGTTGCTGCTGTTGTTCCCCACACAAAAACAGTGAGTAAACTACCCAGGGAATCTCATTTCTTTGGACATGAAAAAGAAAATTTAGAGAAGAAACAGAAGTGAGGAGTCAGGCTAGAGGAGGCCCTGCCTGCAATTAAATGTCACCTTTTTAATCTAAACATAACTGAGATTAAGGGTATTGGAGCTATGTTGGAGCCAAAATTAGATTGAAAATAATCCATTAGAAATTAGCTTTGAGAACTGAATCAAGTGAAACTGGATTTCTGTGGCTTATTTAGTCAGTAGATCATGGAAATTCTTACTATGATGTTTTCATTTACATGAGATAAAATAATTGTTCATTTTCCTTTCAATCAATGTGAATTTAGATTTCTTTCACTGGTAACTTTAAATTTGCTTACTGAAACAGACTTTTAATCTATTAAAAGTCTTGGGGCAAACCAATGATGTTTTTAAAAAGAGGGAAGGGACTGAAGACAGCTTTGATTGTTATAAGTGTGACTGGCTACTTGATTTAACAGTTGATGTTTGCAAGATTATTTGATTAGTGGTTTACTTAAAACAAACATTCTAAAACATTTCAATGAGTCTCTACAGCTTATCAGTATCATGTTAGTTATGAAATATTGGCGTACAAAACAGAAAAACTCACATAGAGTTACCAAAGTGGCATTATAAACAATATCCAATGTTTTGGATATTGCAGAATTACATCATAAAAAAGAAAATGTAAGCACGGATGTGGCAGACCTAAAAAGGTATGTTATGTTCTTACATCCAGTAGGTGTTTTAATTGTCTTATTTTTCCTTAATATTCTACTAAATCTGGGGTAGAACAGATTCCTCAAACCAGGCCATTATTAGGATTTATTTGTCAAACATAGTTTACTAGTAAAGTTATACATATGTATAACAGAGGTGTTTAGCGGCTGGTTTGCGAAGTATAATTTCAACATGAATATTGTCTTTCACCAATGAGAAGACAAAAGTGAAATGATGAAGACATATGTTGAAGTACCATTTATTTATGAATGACAAGAATGACATTTTCTCAGCATAATAGAATTTTCAAATTTTGGTAGAATATTTCCAAATTTTGTCTTATATACAGTTGAATAAATACAGACACAGTGTTCTTTTATATCATTCAATATTTTCTTCAACACATTCTCATATCTAAATACACAACAAAACAATAAACCACATCTTAATGTATAGCCTGTGTTGTAAATATACCCACTGCAATGAATTTCAAATTACCAAGGTGAGGTCCCTGAATTTTCTTTGAGCTAACAAGAACTTCTTTCATCTTCTTAGTTCGTGAAGTGTTAATTCAGTAAATAAAAGAATTGGGTCCACTGTACTAGGCAATATCTCATAGTTTCTACAAAGATAAGATATTTCCTCCTACATATCCTATAGGACCAAATGCATGGGAGCATCTACTACCTAGAAAAGAAGAGAAAGTACAAACTTAATCTTGCTTCACTCTTGCGCACTTACTAACCACTTCTTCTGACCTTCCAACAGACCTTCTGAGTTGATTGGAACTGTTACAAAAAGGATTTATCATCTCTGAGCATAAGGGCCATTCAAAGATATTCTGTTTTCTTTTTATGGGTGCATTGATAGCCTCCCATTAATAGTAATTGACAAATATGGCAGAGTTTTTTTCTGGCATTGTTTTTTTTTTTCTGGTGCCTGTCTGTACTTGATCATTTTGCTTTTCTGTTGATTTGTGCGCTTGTCTTAGCAGCGCATTCATAGAGTCTCTTCCTGTTGAGATTCTCATAAGGATTTTGAAGCTGATTTCCCACATAGCCAGGTTCCCTTCCACGGACGTATTTCTATCTAGACAGATTTTGAAAGTGAAAGTCAGTTTTACAACAACACTTACTTTTTCCTTTGTTCTGGAAACCTATTTATTTTCTTTTGAATTTCACCAACAGACATCAGACACCATCAGAGCCTGTTGGGCTCACTGTCCAGCCACTTTGAGGAGCCCATAGCAGCCCATCTCTGTGAAGCTTACTAGACTTACCCTCCACTTTCCCTTGGGAGGAGGGTATGTGTTCATGTGTGTATGTGTGTATATATGTGTGCAAAGTTACATGACAGCTTTCTCCAAAGTTCCACACAACCTCCTTTTTCACTCTCAGTGCTTTTGACCCTAGTCTACTCTCAGTGTGTGTTCAAAATCTGTAATTAAGTTTTGGATATATCCTTTAGAAAGTTATGGATAAATTGAACGCTTACTTGGGAATGCAGTATCTTTCACATCTTGATAATTTAAACAAAATGTGCACTTAGTCAATCAGTACACTAAAATGTGGATGCCACCCTGAAATTTTGCAGATCTACTATCAAAGCTGTTCTCTTAGCTTGCAGACAAAGTTTGTACACATATGTGGATAAATATCATGCCTACTACATATTCATTATATTTAGAATTATAAAGCACAGACAAAAAAACCCACAAAAGATGAAATCAAATAGATCCTAATTCCATCTTCCAGGCAAATCTGCTCTGAATATTTTATTTTGCCCCTGTGCAAATGAAAATCTGTACAGAAATTGACTGCCTTTCATCTTCCTCTGGAACTTGAGTTGTCTACCTCTAATCTCCTCACTTTATAAATGGTAGTCATAATTTTTTGTCAGCTCACACTGAACTTTTTTGTCAAGTTTAAGGGCAGCATGTGGACTTTACCATGAATCTATTATTTTCTCTTAATTAATTATCTATGATTGAATTATCTATCTGATAATTCAGGGTTTGTGTTTCTATGTGAACTGCACTGCTTTGAAAAAATTGTGTGTGTACCATTTATATTGATTTATTTCCTTTCTGTAAACACAATAATATTGCCTCTTGTGTGCATTTGCATTTTAATAGGTATTAAGCTGTAAGCCAAAGGCACACTTTTCTAAAGTAAAAATTAAGGTATCAGTTAATGGGGAAACGATGTATTTGAGGGACATATTATCCCTTTCTGTTCTTAGAGAAATCTTAGTAATGAGACAATTGACTGTGACTGCCTTCTCATAAATCCAAGTCAAATTATTGGCATTATTCATATGATAAACCCCTCTATTAATACTTTGGCAAGTAATATAAAACAAAGTAATTTTAGAAATATACTTTTTCAAGGATGCACAGGAATTCTAGATGCTTACATAAAATCCATTTGAAGTTCTCATAGCTGCTAAGTTAGGTTAGCACTGTTACCTAGGAGTCCTTTTCTGAATTATATTAGTTTATTCTCCTGGATTATCCCAAGAGCTGTTAATCTCCCTGAGAATTAAGAAATAAATGAATAAACATGAGGAACAAAATAGAAGTGATGATTTATATCTTTTAAGGGTTCAGCACAAGTTTAAGGAAAGTGTGGATATTTTCACAAATTCTGCACCTCAGATATTTTACAAGTTTATTAGTCCATATTCTAAGGATATGGTGCAAATTCTAGAGAAATACTATAAAAATGTAGAATTGGACTGCTTTTGTTTTTCTGAGAGTAGACATTACAATATGTGATTTGCATTAGAAAAAAATCACGATATGAATGTGTATGAGTTTTCGAAAAGTGACTGCACAAAACCATCAAGCAGAACTTCTACCTTTCTTCTTCTATTTTAGTTACCTTCATAGTTTGTGAACCAGTAGAGATGATAAATGCTTTAAGACTAAAAATATAAATTTTTATAAAGTCATGTCCTAGAACGTTCAGCAAAATGGACTGTTCAACAAATCCCCTAAGGTGTGCTACTCACAAAGGCTGAGAATTTAAAGCTTAGCCTTAATTTTTAAAAAGCTCCTCAGAATTAGTACTGGCCAAATTTCATTTTCACCATGAGTAAGGCTGCTTCCTTCTGCAATTAGCTTCAAAAATGTCACTAACTACAAACCAATAGTAAAAATAAATAAAGCTCAAATTATTACTGTCACTGAAATCATGACAAATCACCTGTGACGTGCTAAAAAAAAAATCAGGTCAAGGCAAGTTTTAAAATCTGTTAATTGCGTAACACATAACATTTAGAGAAAGAGTATTTTACTTAATATGTGCTGTCACTAGAAGGAACCCTTTTGGCATAAACCTTTCATAATTTATATTATTGGAGAGGGAAAAAAATGTGATCCTGCGCCTTTAATTTCCCTTTCTGAGCAAGGGAAGGCTGCACACCACTGACAAGCTCACTTGTTCCCGTCTTTAATGTGCAATCTGTTTTCTCCAGCGGAGGGCACTCAGTGTATCACAAACTCAAGCATTAGCACCAACAAGCTCTGAGCCTCATCAGTCTCTGGAAAGCCTTCTGAATTAGACAAGGGCTGCCTCTCAGCACAGCTACAAAACACTTTAAACCTGACCAGCTAAATGGATAAACCTAGCCTGCATAGCTTTTAAACTGGGGTCTCAGGCAGCACAGGAGGCCTACTTGCTTCAAGAACTGAAAAGCCAGAGGATGAATTGCTTTATCTGGGAATGCTAAAAGCCAGCAAAATAAGGAATGCCAGGTATTCTGAA